AAAAAAGGTCAAATGTATGTGTTTTTCATCTTTGTGGTTTCTCCCTTTTTGACATTATTTTTGAACTAATAGAAAATTAATGGGAAAAAAATCTAGATTTGGCTATTCATGATAATGAAGTGAATACACACAAGACCACTCCGTTTCCTGTGTAAACTTAAATTAACATGCTTGCTAAATCATAATTAGTGCTCATAAAAGAGTTCGTTTCCCCCCCCTTCCCATTTTGTACAAACATTTGTGTTTGATTTTGTTACGAAGTACAAAAGGAAAATAGAACCTGTAATTTAGCTCACAGCTAATATTACAAACACAGGTAATATTGTGATTGGAAAATATGGTATGATTTTGTTCATTTTATCCAGTTTTACATTCCATTAATTCAAATGAGCTTGAACATTGTTTAAATAATTCTTGTCTGTGTGATGCCCATACGATGCTAGCTAATATTCATAGCTGATGTCTAATTTCAGGGGATATCATCTCAATTCATTAAGTAATTCTGAAATGATGTTGGAATAAAAGAATGCATGTTTAAAGATCTTTCTGCAAAGACAACCTGAACAAAAATGATTACATTAAGCAAATATTTTACAATAACTTGAGAGTATGAATGTGAAAACCCTGTTTACTAAGGCAGTTGGAAAAGGCACATTTATTATCAAGGGGTCATTGTTTGTTCCTTTATAGTGGTTATAATCTCTTGCTGCAGTTTTCTAATCTCATGTGTTTGCCTTAATAAGCCAGTTGTGAACAATGATGTGAACCATCTGCTCTGCCAGATAGAAGGTAAGAAAAAAATGGAATGACTCTAGATTGCTATAGAAAATAAACAATTCCTCTGATAAAATAAAACTTTCCCATAACGATCAGGTCTACTATGTGCCACTTTGGAATTTATCACTTTAAAAACTGGATCGGGTTCGATTGGAATTAACTCACTTGAAAGTAAATTCTATTGACTTTTATAATATTCCTCTCCAACTTGAATTCTTTAATCACATCCTTATTTTTCTGAAAATATAATGGTTATCACCTAAACTACAATGAAATCTTCCCTAATTGTTTGACTTTATTTTTTTATTTATCGTTGACAATGTTAGTTGAGAATTCCTTCTCTCTGGGATTAATTTTCCAGCGAGAATTGACATACAGAGAACACATAAGTGGAAGATAGCAAGAGATTCATATATCTAATTTCCCTAACTCCTAACAGAGGGACGAACTGCTGCAAGGAATGAACAAGATCAGTAGCAATGGAAAAAGCTGGCTAAATTCTGTGGTGGAATTAGAGTTTTGGGAACAGGGGGAGAAAAAATGGTTGAGAGCTGAAATTTATTATATCCAAACTTCCTCCCATTTAAACAGTATTAGAACGGGCCTGTAAATGCTATCATAGCATTTCAGGGAATGAATCATAATACAGCATCGTGCAGTGCTTTAATGATGAATTATCAGCGTTTGTCTGGATTTTAATTGTTAGTTTTTTCAATCAGAACACTAAATTTCCGACAGAATCCCATATCTTGCACCACCGAAACACACATTTCTGTCTCATTAAAATAGTTAGCATGTGTAAGAGGAACTATTACTTAATCCACTTTTATTGCATTTCTGCATAAAGGATCACAAACAGCACACACAAGAAAGATATTTCATTGAAATAGACCGTAGCAAGCTAAGGGTTATAATTCATAGGAGCTCTTATGCAAATATTATATTCTGAGGTTTTGCACAACCATCACCATCTCAGATACTCAAAAAGTATTTAAAACTGCACTTGCAATAGATATTCCAAACCAATCTTTGGATACAAACTTCTTATCTGCTATCAAAGAGCTGTTGCAGCTAGAAGACATAATTTTTTTTTTGCCAACATTTGAAAAATTAGGGGAGCCTTATCCATCCTCTATGAACGTGAGCCAATTCCCAATAATATTACTTATTTATAATTATTTATATACAGCTGTTCATCAAATGCCTCACAGTGGCATACATGCTAATAATATAGTAAGAAAACTGACAATCCAAGAAAGTAAAACTAAGGTTGTAATCTTATGATAACTCCGAAGATATTTCTAGCAAGCCAAGTAGAGAATTGTGTTGCAGATTTATCATCCTACGCAAACTTATTTGAAGTATGCTGATTTAAGAGAGGCTCATGGCTTGGTAAATGTATGGGAGCTGATTTTTAATTTAAAATAACCTTTTTCTTCTTATCCTATTTGCAGTTTACCTTATTGTTACTACTCCTGAGGCTAATGAACTCACTTCCGAATTAGCGGTTCAAGGCTCAGAAGGAGTCTGTTAACACCTTTTCCAACTAATGACTTTTATTAAAAGGTATAAGCTGCAGCTCACAAAAACTAATCTTTTAATAACCGTTTGTTAATTGAAAAAGGTGCTACCAGATTATTGATTTTTTTTAATTTATTTTTTTGCAGCATAGACTAAAACAGCTCTCCTCCTATGATGATTCAAAGAAAGAAAGAGCAGACAAGTTTTTTTTGTTTCCATTTAAAAGTGATTATTAAACCCAATTAATTGTAGTCCTAGGGAAGAGCAGGTATAGGATTGCAGCCTAAAGTATTTGCTTAAGGATGTTGCTGTAAATAAAGGTTTATCTTCTAATATGATTTAGAGAATGTTCAGACAGAAAAGGGGCTTATGTCTAGACAGCATGACCCTTTTCTGCAGAAATATGACCTTATAAGTCACACATATTAAATGAAAATGATACTGTTGCTCAAAATACAAGGGGGGGGGGAGGGAGGGAGGGAGGGAGGGAGAGACCGAGAGCAAATTAATTGCTATAAAATAGTATTTCCCATTTTCAATCTTTTCCTCATTCTACACTCCATCAATCCAAACATTGCTCTGTATTTCATCTGAATCAAAGCAAATTCAGTTCTAGATGTAGTTTGCAGTGTTTCTTTCCTGAAAAACAAGTCTGCATTTTTGTAGAATAGGATTACAGTGAGCATTTTGTTTCTTACAGAGAATAAAATATGCCCCGTCTACAACAATCTGAGAGGGGGGGAAAAAAAGATTGAATACTTTACCTGGAGCAAACACCATGGTTCCTTCCTGCCAAGATAACAGTGTAATAAAACACAACAAAGTCGTGTGTCAGAAGCAGGAAGCGAGCGGAAGGGCAAAGCAAACAAGCAAATTATAAGGGCGAGTTTTGCAGTGACATCCAGGAGTGGTAGCACCTTGGACAGCTACACTCACAGAACAAAGCAGCCAGTCCTGAAATGCTTCCTTGCCAGTTACCTCCAAAATGCACCGCTCTGGGGCGGTGTGGGGGGGAAGAGAAGGAGGAAGGAGCTCACTGATCAGCACATATCCCATGTCTTCGCTCACTGCATACACAGCTAGGCTGAATTCCGCAGCAACAGCAGGAAAGGGGAAAGAGGAAAGGTAATAGCAAACGCTCTCGGCAGGAGAATAAAGTAATTGCTCCTAATTATCTCTCGTCGTCTTCTGCACCAGATGCAGCCAAGGTGAAATGAGCAAGGTGGTTCTTCAAGGCTAAGTTAAAAGCCTCTTGTAAACTGGCTGTTCTGAAGCACTGCTACGTGTTATTGTTCGGGCTTCTTTAGATTAATTAATCTTTTTTTCCTCAAAAGCAATCCATAACCTATAAGTTTTGCCAGGGGCTCTTGAAATTTCTGTATACTTTGCTGTTTTCTTGTTTGCAGTCTATTACCTGGGACTGTTTTAACTGCAGCTACAGGGGAGAAAAAGGGTAGTATGAAAAGTGTGGCTCTTGATATCTTTTAGTAACAATCTTTGTGAATCTTTCCACTGATTTAACAATCAATGGAAAGATTCATTAACAATAATCATTAACAATCTTTGTGAATCCTTCCATTGATTTTTCAGAAACTAATAGCTGGGGTGGAAGGAGGGTTTTAAAAAATATCCTAGGTTATTGCTAGGGTTATAAGCCAAAAATGCCATTTTCAAGTGTTTGCCCTGAAAACAGAAACCTGCCCCCTTAAAATCAAAACCATCCCTACAAATACTAATTTTAAAAAGTCATTCTTATTGTTAAATAGTAACAGCCCTTAAGTGGCTATTTTAAACCGATCATATTTACTTTTGCAAGTCCATTTTTACTTTCTGTCAAAGTAATGACAGAACTGTGCTCAGGAAACTAAATGCAAAGGCTTAAAAGTGTTCTTAATTCACTCACTAAAATCAACTGTGTATCTGAGTAGAAACACAGAATAAAAATATACATAAAGTGAGTTGCATGTTTGGTTGGTTGCTTAATATGTAAGTTGTATTACAGTTTATGTCTCTGATAGTTTTGCCATCTATTCCCCAAATTTAAAATATCTTCAAAAGCCCAAATCATAAAAAGTTTAGGATTTAGAAGATTAAGATATAACACAATAACAGCAGCTACTCCAGCCAGTATCCAGAGATAGAAGTAGTTTACTTTAATATATCTGAAGACAAATTCAGCCATTTTGAGAACTGCTTAAGTGCACAAGAAATGTGCAAATAAACCTTCCTGCATATTTGATGTAATATAGGAAAAGAATAGTAAAATAAATATGCCCATGTATTTTGCACGTATACTGTACTGAATTCTGTACTATTTCTTTGGACATTATTATCATAAACATAGAAAAACATTGTCATTACATTTCAAATGAACCCCTTTTGTAGAGAAATCAAATCTATGGCATCTCACAAATGAATAAAAGTATTATCAGTCCATTTTATGCAAAACTTCACATAGAAAATATGTGGGCTGAAATACCATTTGTTTTTTGCTGCAAGATTAACAAGGATATTTTATGGATTACACACTCACATACACATACATACAGTGCATGTACACACACAGTGTAGTGGTATGTACATATATGTGTGCATGTTTGTGTGTATTCATATTCCCTTTTCACCTCTATGGTAGTATGCCTTCTGTGCAAAAAATTAGCTGTACTGAGAGCTCTGATATTATGCCTAAGGATCTGTTGGAGCTTAGGAGTGACAGCCCTAAATGCTGCTACCATCACCGGTACCACTTTGGCCTTTACTTCGCACAGCCTCTCCAGTTCTTCCTTCCGGCCTTGATATTTTCCAGCTTCTCATACTGCTTCTCCCTAAAGTTGCCGTCACTCTATGCCTATTACCACTGCTGTCTTGTTCCTTGTCTAGTACTATTATGATTTAATGCTCTATCACATTATCACAAAAAACACTTCACTTGATTGGAAATTATTTCTGAATGATTAAAAAAATGATTAACAAGGTTCATTTTAAATAAAAATGGCTGGATTAGCATATTTTCTCCTCAACCCATCTTAATTACCGTAGATAAATTGTTTGGGGCAGATTTCATTCTGTGTATCTTACCCAGGAGTAGAGGCAGCTACTACTGAAGGGAGTGCATTTTGATCTGAGCCAGGAAATTTGAATTTCCTCTTCTTACTTTTAAGGAAAACAAACTTTCTGATAAAAGAAATCAAACTCATACTAAGATCATGTTTTCGACTGAATATTTGCATAGTGAAATTTTGAATGATGAGCAACAACTGAAAATCATCGTCTAAATTAGCCATGAATCAGGTTTTCATGGTCCATGAAAAGGTGGGGTGTGGGCATTTCTAATTGCTTTCTTGTAAGAGAGTCTGATACAGGCTAACACTATTTTTTCAACCATTAGAATACGCTACACAAGTAGTCCTCAACTTACAACTGATTAAAGCCATAACAGTACAGTGACAAAGCCTGTAAAAAGAGCTCCACTCCTGCAGCCTACCAGAGCAGTTGTCTTCTATGCACAGAGAGGAGATGAACTCATCCAGCGGAGTGGAGAAACAGAGCTCAGATCCTGACCAGTTTTATTCCTGCAACCTGCTGGAAATTTGTTCTGTGCATGGAGGGGAACTGAACTTGGCAGGCACCTCTTGCCCCAGAAGCTTAACGACACAGGAGAATTGCCTAATGATCATAACTGGAAATGCTTGGAATTGTGGCCGTTGAGCAAAGCAGTCATGTGTGTCTCAATTAATTACAGTTTCACTCAACAACTGAAATTCAACTGAATAACATCTGAAGTTACTTAAAAACAAGCAGAGTTAAATTTAGTGAGCTTTTCTTCAAAGTAAATATGAATAGGCGATTCCGAGGATCAAAGTTTCCTGTTGTGAACTAATCATCACGTCAGTTCAACAATTCTTCTGTGTGGAGTTCAATTCATACGAAAGGAGAGGAATTGGCAGAGCTCTTCCTGTGTCCTTCCTTTTCCTGCAGTTGCCTTTCCTTCTTGAAAAATATCATGGAAAGTTGGGTATGTTTCTGAAGTAGCAGAAGAGATCCACGGAGAGCTGCAAAAAAACCTGATTGCCTCTTTCCATTTCTCCAGTGTAGAGCATCTCTTCATCACCCAGTGCTATCTGCTTACAAAATGGCTATTATAGATCCAACCCATTAAGTTTCAACATTTTTGCTTATCTATGCAAGTTGCATACCAACATTCCAGCACAAAATGTTCTAATTCCAAAATTGGCTGTTCCAAAGCTAGAATGATCCATGAAAGAACATTTTGCACAAGTCATATTATCTACTTAAAATGGTGAACTTTCAACTTGCCCACATACTTCTATTTTGCAAGACCTATTTCAAAAATAATTAGATATAAATTATTATTGTCAGTGTTATTTTTTTTTACTAATGTGCACTGTGCACATTGTTCTCATGTCTCTTTAGATCAGAACTAGCAATTTAGAAAAAAATCAAAATATTGTAAGGCAAGGATTTGTATCTACTAAAATTAACAGGCATTATTACAAAATATATTCAAACATACATACAAAACAGAAAATGATGTGATGTTCTTGGAAAATGTATAGGCACACAATCTTTATATATTCTAAAATATTCAAGTTTTATTTACAAGATACATTTCAAACTTTTGGCATTTTAAATATAACTTTAAGTTGCCTATTCAATGAATATTTCACAATGACATTGTAACAAAGACCATAGCTATATGCAACATTGTTATTTAAAACATTAGCTTCATATAGAAATGTAAGAGATGTTTGATTTATAAATACTTATCTGACCCCTGTCAGAACATATCTATATTCATTTAAAATGAGTTGTATTAATACATGTAAAACAATTATGTATAAATAAGTGGAGAAATGTTTTTCAAGATTTATAAATGATCACATTTCCTCTTACTTCATAGAAAACCCATTCTAGTTTGTTACAAATGAAACCTGTAACTGAAATAATAAAATTACTTTTATTTTAAATTAACTAGTAAATTAATTTGAGTTGGTAGGCTAAGTGAAATTTGAACCAACTTCACAGCTAACCATTTTCTTCTGTGGAAAAGATCCCATCATCTTCTATTAATTCCTAGGATAAATACTTCAAATACTTCATTCACTGAAAGAAAATCAAAGATGAATACGAAACCTGTCCCCAAAAGCTGGGTGTAATTTTGTGAAGATAAGCAGGATAATTACTTATGAAGCACAGGCATTAAGCTGCAAGCTCAAGCATACTCATTAGTAAGCAGTATAGTCTAGGTCAGTAAGATTTACTTTCATATAAGATACTTTTGAATTAAAATATAAATCCCAAAACCACTCAATGGAATCATCTTTGTTGCAATTCTGTAACATTATGTTGGGAGTAATAAAGTTGAATTTTGTGGGACATCTGAATAAACACATACAGAACTGAGCTATGTTCACTAATGGGATACAAAGTATACTCAATTGTCTAATTCTAAATTCTTCCACTCAAATGTGATAACTATATTGTTCTAGGTTGTTTTTTTCCAAACTATAACCCATTATTCCAATTTTTCCAAGTTTCATGGAAAAGTTACTAATGGTCTGAGATGCCTACATTTGACACTTTGCTATTTCAAGTTGTATTTGGGGGTCAGGAATTCTACTCCATACTGAGAAAAATGTCATACAATCAAAGCTGGAATCTTTAAACTTGATTTCTCCTGGAACAATGCCATAATTAAAACTTAAGTTCAACTCTTTTGACTCTCCGAAACAATCAGGAGCACCATAATTATTTTTTATCTAGTGTTCAGGAGCAGCAAAAATAAGTCTTAACAATTTACTCATTAATTGGAAGCGACTGAAATGGATTTTCTTTCAACTATTTTCAAATGGTTGCTTCTTCTCTGTATTTTTTCCTCATTACACTTACTGCCTGAACTCCATTGTGCTATCTGCACTAGAATATGAACCTTTGATAATTATGCTGCCTCGATAGTGACAATTGTAATTCTTGTTAAATATCACCAAATCCTGGAATATTATATTAGCAAGGATTTGCACTTGAATTCTACATTACTCCCAATTGTCCTTTTTTATTTCTTAGGATACAGGGGAAAAATCTTAAGTATTATTAAGGGAAATTGCAGATGATTCAGCTAGCAATATTTCCTTGTCAGAGCAGAGAAAGCAAAAAGCCACTATCAGACAGTTATCAAATGGGGCTTAGAGATTTGCTAAACTTAAAAGCTGAGAAGGAAGAGAGTAGGAATGAATGGTTTTGGTTGCAGTGTATGAATCTTAGAGGAAATCCTTCTTTCTAACTTAGCCAACATCTCCCAGTGGATCATGCACAATATTAAAGCATTCCTGAAAACTTTTGTCCATGGTTCGTAATGAATACACACTTGGTTCCATGCCTTCAAGTAAAAAGGCATCATATCATATACAATGCTGTGTATGCTTGCAATGAGCAAGTTCAATAGGTATAATGAAGCTTAATGTAAGATATGTGTTAATAAAGATCCGAAAAGACGAGAGAAGCATCAGGATGTTTTTTTAATCATTATCTAATTAGAGACGGGCAATGGTTTAAGACTCATGTCCTTCATAAGGAGGGCTTCCAGAGGCTACCAGATGGTGCAATGACATGGAAGCGGCATGATCATTTTTATTATTATTTCTTGTGGTTTTTAAAAATAAAATTTATAATAACAAACTGGCCTAAATTTCATGGTGTAATTTCAGGCCCGAGACCTCCTATTTCTATATCTCTGGTAGAGGGGGAGAGGAAAAAAGTTCACACTATTTAAATGTTGGCCATTTTGCTTCTGAAAACTGAAATCATAATGTCACTTAACAAGGAGCTCCATGCAACTTCATTGCCGCCCAATTTAGGGTGGGGGGGGAAACCCACGATAGTTTCTACTGCTCATACACCTTGTATCAACAATTACAGTAGATGAAACTGGAGCTAAACAACTGCAAAATAAATAAAATATGAAATCTAAACACATTTTCATTACTTTTGATTAGAACATTGGAAATTAATACATTCACCCCCTACAAATTAATACTTGCACTCAGTAAAACTCATAATTTCCCATAATTTTTTTAAAAAAATACCTGTTATAGTAGACATAATTTATTAAACTGTTTGCTAACAGCACAATTTGTAGGCCAATAAGTCAACACATTTTGAATTAATCTAATCTTGCTTTACTCACATGGTAGTACTTTCTACTGAAATCCATGAGACTCAGCTACGTAGCACTTGCAGTGCAATGAATCTCTAACAAGTATTTATTTTTGACTTGGCAACTCATCCTATAATTTCCCACCATTGCTCACAATCTCTATTTTAGGCTCTTCCTAAATCATAAAAAAACATATTTAGGTGCCAAGCAACTGGATCCAATGAAACAAAAGTAGCTTAAATCCAAATACTTAGACTTAATTTCACTGAGATCGGAGTGTAACATCTTCCATTTCACATGCAGTTTATTCCAATGGGGTAAGGCATGCATTGAAACCCAGTACTTTAAAGAGAGGAATATAACACAGCTAGAGTCCGACTTCTAAAAAAATTATATCCAATTGGACGGATGCCTTGATTAACGTCTTATCCATGCTTGATATGAGAGGGGTTTTTTTTTGCTGCAAAGTGCAACTATATTTCTACTTTTTAAATCACACTAAAATACTCAGAAGTGAGTTTTTCAGTCCGAACATTTTCCAACATATGGCCACTCCTCTTTTTAGCTACAAGCTATAGTTTCAAGTTGTTGTTCTGCCTCAGCGGCCATGGCCGCTGCCTGTAATTGTTCAGTTTCACTTTGGAGGGCACTGGCTGTGGTTACTTGCTTCCTTTCACTGTGCATATTGTTCTCATGTCTCTTTAAATCAGATGCTTTGGCAAATGCTTTAGTACAAGAGCTGCAGACAAAAGGTTTCTCCCCTCTATGTCTTCTTTCATGATCTTTCAGGTGGGACTTATGTTTAAAAGCTTTGTCACACATGTGACATGCAAATGGTCTTTCATTACTGTGAACCCTCTCGTGCTTTTTTAGGTCTGGTGCACGAATAAAAGACTTTCCACATACTTCACAGCTATATGGCTTGTAGCCTGTGTGGATCTTTAGATGCTCTTTCAAGTGGGCTTGAGTAGTGAAGCCTTTAGTGCACATTTCACAAACAAAGGGCCTATCTGCAGTATGGAGTTTTTCATGTTTTCTCAACCGTGCTTCATCAGAAAACGTTTTGCCACATGCTGGACATGCGATTTGTTCCCTGTGACCATAAAGCAAATACTCAAACTTCATGTCTCCAGCTGCTGTTGTCCATGCTGGTGTCTGTTCATCCTTTACTTCACTTATGCCATCATTAAATGCTAGAGCCTGAGGAGTTTGTGATCCCAATTCTTTAGTTTCAGCAGACTCTATAGATTCTACTTCTTGACCATAGCAGTTCACTTTTCGAACCTCTTCACTCCCCAGCTCCTTCAGAATTGCTTCCTGAACTCTCAAAGTAGCAGTTGGCGATTTACCATCTTCTTGACTAGGAGGAGTCCCTTCCATTGTCATATCTGAAGGGCTATCATCGTGATCGCCAATTTCTTCAACCTCATCATCTTGATTATCATTAGACTCCCCAATCGGTCTATTAATTTTAAGACAATACTTATTCTTTGACTGTGAATTGTCTTCTGGACTTGATACATCCCGTTTTTGAGAACAAAGTTTATCCAAAAATCTAATACCAAGAATCTGACCAGATGACATCATTAAATTGACGTCTTCTTTCTTAACTGAAATCTTGGCTGTGTACATGTAATTGAGCACTTCCTCAAATATATCAGATCGAAGGAAATCTATTTCAATTACAGATGAGCTGTCAACTTCCAGTTTTTTGAAAAGTTTTTTAAAATAGGTACTACAAGCAGCTAGAACACACCTGTGTGCCCTGAATTTTACATCTTCTACAACAATAGCTATATCACAAAATTCTCCTTCCAATCGTTGCTCATTTAATGTTTTCAGAAACACAGTTTTGTGATCGTCGTCATTATATTTAATGGTTTCAGACATACTGATGAAAAACTCCTAGAAAAAACAAATTTATTTAAGTTACTTTAAGAAAATCAAGATATTGTTAAAAGTTCCACATTTGAACGTTTATTCAGCTGATGTACATTTTAAAGTAAATGAGTAACCTTCAAATGAGCTATGGACGCAAAGTTGATTACCTATTATTTTATACATTTCACGAGAAAAAGTTCACTAATGAGCTACAGATCTTATAAATAATATAAATATAACAGCTTGTGAATGGAGTTCTCTTTTACCAGATTCAACCTGCCAGAATATATTATTCCTTCTTTCATCTGAACTAAAGCAAAAAAACCAAACCAAAACAAAATGTATTTGAGAAAGAACTAATACAGAGAGACAAGCTATATTTCAACCAGGAGATAAAGCAGAAAACATTAAGTAAAGGGGAAAGCATATAAACAAGATCAAGATTCTGCCTTTATTCCTCATAGTTATTTATAATAAATAAATAATAAAATGGTTTACTGAGACAAAAAAGGAAATGTAAGCAAAGAAATATACCATGAACAAGGAAAGATCTTTTCTTAGTATCTGAGCAATGTTTTGGAAGCAGATTCTTATCCTGGGCTCCCTGCACCTGAAAAAGAAAACAATAACAAATCTATGAAAAAAAATCATCCCCCATAACAATCCTGTGAGTTATGTTAGATCACTAGCTCAGGGTCACATAACAAGCTTATGACTGGCAAGACTGGGCAGGGGTTAAACTCCAGAGGCGATTTCCTAAACTGAAGGTATCCCAAATGGTGGAAATGCTCACACCAAATTCTTTGTACCATTGACACTGTACATTTTTCAAAAAGCATTTTAACTGTAAAAAGAGTAAGTTTTATTCTTCAGAAGGATGTGCCTGAGACCTGTTTTGGAATTTTTTTTACAAAAACAAAATAATGGGCAATTACAGTCCTACACATTGTCTGGAAACACAATAACCAACCCAGGAAAAGAACAAAGGTGTAGCAAGAAAGGGAACTTGAAGGATTTGCAACTTTTGTTGCTGGTTATGGTGCTCATGATTGTTTTATGAATGGAACCACTCCAAATTTCTTGTGGCTTCCTCAAATTTAACACCATCTTTTAGTGATTCAGTAGTGATTTATTTAGTGGATATGGCAAACTGGTAGAAAATGCACCAGAAATTATCTTATGCTAAGTCAATATTCCTTCTATTAATGTACAACACTTTTATCCTAATTTAATTGATAGCCACCTAACAAAGTTGATTTTTTGCAGTTAGGAAATAAAAAATTAATTACAACACTTTTGCTAAAGCTAAAATCTTAGATTCTATTTATGTTTCATAATTTCAAAGCAAGTAATTTATTTCTCTGTGCTATTGCTACTCATGTCATTAGCACAGGGGTCATCCTGGGCAGGTATTTTCCGTAACAAAATGCAAAATAAACAGCTGCCTTACTGCTCCAGGTGATGTTATCCACAGCAAAAGTAGCATTTTAATCTGATGTAGAGAACTGTCAGCAATTGGGAATACCCTTTGGATTAAAAAAAATATGAGAATTTGCTTACTAACAGATACAGCTGCTTGCAATCATGCACACATTTGTCCAAAGCAGGGGTGTCAAACTCATGGCCCACGGGTTGGATGCATCACGTGCTGGCCCCATCCCCAACCGGTGCAGCAAAAGGGAAAAAAAGTCCCCATATGTCACATGACGCCGCCATGACACCCGAGTTTGACACCGCTGGTCTAAAGCAAGAAACTGATTAACAGTCTGATCTCACAAAGGGACTGAAAATTCATCAGTTTTTCAACATTTTTTTTACCAAAGACTTGTCTTCACTGAATTTAACTACCTCCAAAGCTTTTTTTCCTTTACAAGTTTAGGATTGGTCTATTCATATTAGCACAATAGTTAACCAATAGCCAGGCCTACACAAGTCATAAAGTAGGATCCTGGTTATTGACAGAAAGCTGTTTGTTGGCACCTTTCATATTCACATTTTTGCTCTTTCCCACATGTCCAGAGTTTCTATCATTTAAAACCGTTGATTCTAGCTTATCTGATGATCCAATTACCATTATTCTAAATTAGAATTTGTAAATCAAGAACCACTCCTGGTTCACATATACAAGTTTCCTATTCATATATCTAGTACAAAATAATGGTTGTATATGAGATAAGAAGTGACTAGAATTCATGTACAATCATGCAGTTTACCCTATAAATAAATCTGGACTATAATAGTGGATTAGAAACTAACTACTGCTGTACTTTTTTGGGGGTGGGGTTCTCTGATTTCACTTTTGCTTGGATCAGTAAAAAAGCTCCAGAATATGCAAAACAACTGATGAACATAGAAGAACATACAATATGCTGTTTTTCTTTACTGGAGTGTGAGTCATATAATTTTCTCATGCCTTTATATAAAAAGGATTCTATGCTCACAAAGATTGATCATGAAAGATAAAATCTTGATTGGGCCTCTAGTCCCGTGATGGTGAACCTATGGCACGCATGACAGAAGTGGCACGCAGAGCCATCTCTGCCGGCATGTGAGCCGTCACCACAGTTCAGTTCCACTGCGCATGTGTCTCCCACCAGCCGATTGTCAGGTATCTTCCGCGCATGCACAGGGGGCGGGGAAGCATGGGGGTCACGTGTGCATATGCAGGGGGGCGGGAGAGCATGTTCATGTGGGCGGGGGGAAGCATGCGTGTGCGTTGCATTATGGGGTGCAGGCATGCATGCGCATACACGCGCACCCATGCACACACTTTCGGCACGCGATGACGAAAAGGTTAGCCATCACTGCTCTAGTCTCTCAAGAATTCATGAATACTGTACAATATGCAGATCCTTTTCTCATGTATTCTGAATGCCTAGAGTCCTAGACAGAATATTACCATTACATTGCCTGGAAACAGAGAATGCCATGCATAAAATGTTCTCAAGTGCTCTTTCAATTTTAGGAGATATATGAACTCCATCATCCTTTTAGCTAACTAGCGGGTACATCGTGATTACCTCAATTATTTTCTAAACTATCTTTCCTGATCACAAACTCACAAAGGTAACAGACAGTCCAGATTTTTTTTTAAAAAAAATTGTAAAGCCAAAGGAACTAAACCAAGAATAAGAGAATAATTCTATGTATATTTATATAAATCAAAAGCAAGGTTCAAGAGCAGCTTACTGTAAGGTAAAACTGGAATTATGGTTCCAAACCGAATCCCAAAAATTACCTTTTCAGACACATTAAATATTTGACTTTATGGCTGACTCCTGAAATTTGCTAATGAGCTTTCGGAAGTAGGCATCGAACCCTCCCGATCTAAGTAACAGTGATATGTTTTTAAGAAGCTTTTCTTGTAACAACCGGTATAAGCACCAATAAACTGAACAAACAAAATCCCTTGACATTGAAATGATCTGAAGCGTTAAGTATGCTTATCGGGGAGATCTAAATGACTACCAGGAGAACGACGCCAATTTCCAAGCCGGTTTTTTTTTCTTTTTTCACACACTTGAGTTTATGGCGATCTTTCGCCAAACGTAGGAAAGAGCATGCGATTCTAACGTGCACGTTTTGTAGGCCAAACAAAAACAAAAAAAAAATGCAATGCCGGCTCCGTGCGAGTAACCATGTAAGAAACGTGCACGGTGCATACTCGGTGCATGCGTGCTAGTGCCCGTGCAGGCCTCACGACTGTGCCCCGCTGAGACGGGGCTGCAGCTAAACGAAGTGCACAGATCCCCTCACGCGCGACTTCCCCTCATCCCTTCCCTTCCCTCCACCAAGGAGGCGGAGCCCAGGAAAGGCCCGCGCGCGCGGGAGCGTAGAAAACAGCCTTCCGTTCCAACCCCTCCCCTCCCCTCCCCCCGCCGCCACTAAATCTCGCGGCAGAGCTCGCTCCCTCGCTCGCGCTCCCCAGCACTAACGAATGGGCGGCGCTGCCGGACTCTAGTACAAGCTATTCATTTACCCCGGAGCGAGCCTTCGCCTGCCGCCGCGTTGCACGGGACTGCGCCATCTCCGGCATCCTGCTGCTCCGGTCAAGGAGGCGGCGGCGGCGGCGGCTCCAGTTAGCGCGAGGCAGCTTTTCCAGGCCGAGGGGACCAACGGCGCGCGCAGGAAGGAGCAGCAAAGGGGGCGGCGCGCGACGGAATCTCTCCAGCGCACCTTCCCCGCCTCCCTCCGGTTCTGCTGCTACTGCAGCAGCAGGAGCCGCCGAGTCTCGAGTGCGCGCGCAGATGCTCGTCAAACTTACCTGCCGTGCTGCGCTTCGCGCGGAGATTCCGGGAATGGGGGGGAGGGGGAAAGGTTGGGTTACGGTGGCGGGAGTGTTTGGTCCAAGCAAAGATTTGGGGATTTGGGGGGGGGGGAATTGTAGGGGGAATGGCGCGCGTCTCTGGCCGTTACCGCCGCTTCCTGCACGAGCATTCCCTGCCCCGCGCGCGCACGCGCGAGGCGCGCCGGAGGCGGGAACGTGCATGCGCGTTGCGAGCAGGGCGCGCCCCCCGCGGGGAAAGGGCGGGCACTGCGGGGATCTGTCTAAAGAGGCGAAGGAGCTTAGCGGCTGTTTTGAAGGGGGAGGAGGAGGAGGAAGGCGCGCCTGCGTTGCTCTGCCGCTCTTCCCGGGCTCGCGCGCCCTCGCCTGAGCCGCTTCTGACTCTTGGTCGATGTGGTCGGGGCCGCGCGAGATGGAACCGGTTGGCGGGGCTATGGATCCCGGATTAGCCGCTTTGGTTCTGCTTCTGCGGCGGAAGGAAGCATGCATGCATCTCCTTGGCTCCTCTTTCCACACATTGTTACTTGCCGAGCAGTAATTTGTCTCTGACGTACGCCTGTCCCAGTACATATCAGTTTCATTTTACCAATAATAAAAACAATGATAAACGACACTTTCAACCTTCCTTCAAGCTGCGTTTCATGCCATTGCTCATTTGAGGGTTGAGGGACCAGAAAATTCCGTTTCCACGCTGAGAAAATAATAATAATAATAGTAAATTCTGAGACTGAAATAGTGATTGTCCTGCCCATGATATCCCACCCCCCGCCCCGCAGCAACTGAGCCCCCGTCCCGACTGAGGTAAGAGATTCTCCGGCGAAGATGGGGCCGGCGCTGAGGAGACAACTACTCGTTGTAGAATACCTTATGCCACCAGACTTGAAATTCTAGAACTAGAAAACCTTGAATTACGCCGTCTTCTGACTTAAGCATGGTATATAAAATCATACATTGCAATGTCCTACCTGTCAATGAATACTTCAGCTTCAACCATAACAACACAAGAGCACACAATAGATACAAACTCAAAGTAAACCGCACCAAACTTGATTGCAGGAAATACGACTTCAGCAATAGAGTGGTCAATGTCTGGAATACTCTACCCGACTCTGTAGTTTCTTCCCCAAACCCCAAAAACTTTAACCTTAGACTGTCTACTATTGACCTCACCCCTTTCCTAAGAGGTCTGTAGGGGGCGTACATAAGCGCACCAACGTGCCTACCGTCCCTGTCCTATTGTTTCTCTTATTCTTTTATTTTTCTTATATGTACCCATTTCATGTATTCACAACTATGTATACATTTATACTTATTATCTTGTAAACAATTGGCAAATCAAATAAATAAATAAAATAAACAGTGCTAGAACACAGGCTTTCTAGGGGAAAGCGCCATGTGCGAACAACAGGTTTGCTTACTGCTAACTGTACTATCCAGGGTTCTAGTTCCCCGTGACACACTGAATCATTAACCGATTTTGGGGAAAAGATGGTTTTTTTTCTGATTAAAGGAAAGAAAACGAAGAACTGGGTCCCTTCTCAAACACCCTTTGTCACTTCTGCCCTGGCTCACAGATGTTTGAGGTCTTTATACATTATTTTTTTAAACATCTATTTGCTGTATTTTTTATTTACAATTGTTTATATTGATTGATTATACCCATGGTTAGTCACATAGTTTACTTTAAGCCACTTCAGGAAAATTGTCATCCTACAGGTGATTATAAATAAATAAAGATAATGAATTGACAAATGAAGGGAAATATAAGTGTCCCACGATATTGTTGCAGGATCCAATCTGGGTCGGTCACCGGAACCAGAGGTTTTGTCTTCCAAGCTTCCGGTCTCGTGCTGGAGCCCATCTTCTGGGAACTTCTCTCTAGCAGAGTGTGTGCTCTTTTCTATGTGGTATTTATAGTGCCAATTGTAAGTGGCTTTTTAGATGTTGATTGGGATGTGTTGATGGCTGGCTTTTAAGTCGTTAGCTGTTGTTTGCTTGTGCTGCCCATCCCTCCCCTATTAAGTACTTGATAGGCTGATGGTAAATCAGCACTCCTGTTGACTGATGAAGCATTTGTTTCCCAGACTTTAGTAATTTCTCTGGCTGTTTTTGTGCCTGCTCGTCCAACAATTTTAATAGCTGCAAAATTGAATGTGTGTTCTCCTTCATTGCAAGGTGAAGTTACTAATGAGTTCAGTTCTCCTGTCTGACTGCTCGCTTCTGTCCTTGCAATCTGGTGGTAAACTATCTTCCCCGTCTGTCCTATAAAGTCATAAAGGCAACCCATGCAGAGGATTCAGTAGATTACATTGGAATTATCTCCAACCTCCAAGCGATATTTATAATTAGTCCTTGTATGATAGCCTTTGGGTGGTGTGCAATGCAGATCTCGGAAGCTGCGTTCTACAGAGTCCAAAAGTTTTTTGATATATGGCAGGGTGTGCCATGTGATTGGTCTTGTACCTTGTTTCTTCCTTTCTCTCCCCTCTGTGTTGCACAGTGAATATTGAATTGACGACTGAAGTTTGGTTTATCTGGTACATTTATATTAAACTAAAATAAATGTGTTTAGTTTGTGGTTCACTGTCGTGCAAAATCTGTTTAGAAAGTCATGCAAAATTAATTCTATGAAGTTGTCCTTAATTAATTCTATGAAGCAAACACATAAAATTGGTAACAGTTGACTGAAATCTTATCAATCATGGGCTTCTTTTTCTGTGACAGTGTCTTTTGCACAAAAGAAAAATAAAGTGTAAGTAATATATGAAAGCTGGTGTGGTATACTGCTTAAGGTCTCAGGCTAGAAACTGGGGAGACTGTTCTAATTCCTCATAGGCACAAAAACAATGGGATGACCATGGATTAATCACTTTTTCTCAGTTTTAGGAAAGAGGTAATGGGAAACCACTTCTGAAAATTCTTGCCAAAAATACTACAGGACTTCTATGGGCAGTCTCCTAGAATCAGATATGATTGAACAGGGAAAAAGGTAATATATAGTACCTGAAAATAAGGTTAGGCTCTGATATCCTAAGTAAGATTTCTAAACCTAAAATGAAAAGAAAGAATTTGTAGGTCACAGAGTTGAAAGGCTCCCTTGCCCATATCAATTTAAATATTCTTCCCATATGGCTATCCAGCTTTCTCTTCATTGTACTTGTATTTGGACAGGATGCAATACATTTAAACCTGGAAATATTAGTTAATTCATGGGCAGTAGGTATTTTTCACATTTTTGATATGGCTAAACTGTATTCCTACTCCTTCAAGCAGCATTGTAAGGTACTGAACAAAAGAATGCAAATTCATTGCTACCCTTCTGGATTTTTCCTGTGCTATCGTGTATATTATATATTTTCTTTTCCTTTTGAACATGTTTCCTCTTTGTTGTTCTTAGAATCCTTTCCTGAACTTTAGTTTTCATGACATCATATCTCCAAATGTAGAGAATCTCGTATTCTTCTTGGTGAAGGTTTCATCTCATTCATATGTTGAGAATGTTTCAGTCTGTAGTCAGATTGTCTTCTGCTATGTACCATTTTATGCCATTGTATTTTTAGTATCTGATTTTTAAATTAAATCCTAGCCATCTTGAATTTCTCTTCCCATTAGCTACCACTGGCATGGTATAGTTATCATTGCTTTAAATGAAGTCCAAGGTTCAATGGCACTCAGTTTTGGATTCCCTTAGTATCAAGAAATCCAGCTGTATATACACAATTTCCTCCATAGATTACCTCTTTTTCTGTTTTGTCTACTATTCTTATTAGTTAAAATCAAATTAAGAATAGCTTGGTTTGAAAACTATTGAAATTCTCAACAAGAAAAGGCAGGAAGTTTATTTCAATTTTAATTATTTAAAATTTCTGATCATTACTAAGTTGTGTATCTTTGACATATTTATACTTCACTTTTGGAAAACACTCACACCTCTTTTTTATCAATAACAGCATAATGTTATTGTTAGCATAATGTTACTGTTACCACATCCCGGACATAAACTGTTCCCACTGCTTCCCTCAAAACGAGTGCTATAGAGCACTGCACACCAGAACAACTACACAAGAACAGTTTTTCCCCAAAAGTCATCACTGCTAAATACAAAGTCTGCACTACTGTTACTATTAATCTTCTCATCACTCCTTATCACCCATCCCCTCCCCAATTGTGACTGTATGACTGTAACTTTGTCACTTGTATCCTTACGATTTACATTGACTGTTTCGTAGTATGATTCAATTGCTTATTGTACCCTATGACTAGCATTAAGTGTTGTACCTTATGATTCTTGACTCTTGACTCTTTTCTTTTATGTATACTGAGAGCATTTGCACCAAGACAAATTCCTTGTGTGTCCAATCAACTTTTCTATTCTATTCTATTCTATTCTATTCTATTCTATTCTATTCTATT